GAAAGCCCCTGTTGTGCATGATACACGGTGGCCAAATTGTGTCTAATCCCCAGTTGATAAAGACTTTGAAAAAAAAAAATAAGTTAAACTACTTTCCTGATTGGATTGAATAATCTTAGGTGAACCAAAAATTTAAATTAACTGAGTGAGGGCTTTTATAATAGACTTTGTGTTAATAGAATGCAAAGGAAATGCACATCACTGGAAGCAGATACTCACTCAAGCGAATTAGTGGCCCAGCACATAAGGCTGTGATGGTCACCATGACAGCCGGGATTGTCTATGCAACTGGGGTGGTAGTACGTGACGTCACGCACTCTAAAACACAAATTTTCGTTATGTTGCTAAGTATTACATTTCTGTTAGAATATAATGTTAGGCATGATTCAGCAAGTTCAAGGTCAAGTTCAGCCATGAATCTCATTGTAAAACTAAATGTTACATTAAAAATCTGGGAACATTTTGGATCCATGGCGAATGAGAAAGGCAAACCAATAATTTGAATTAAACTATTTGTAGGGTTTGTTTAAAAAAATGTGCTGAATGGGCAAACACGTCAAATCTCCAGAGCCATCTCCGGTCATGTCACCCAGCCACGTATCAAGACAAGTCTTCTACAAACGCCCAGCTAGTCAGCCCGGTATTGCAGAGGCCTTTTCAAAAATGGCCAGATACAAAAAAAAAAATGTAACAACATATTTGGTAAGGTTTTGTTGACAACACGCCGCTCACCAATGTAGAAAAAAAACTTCTTCCAAAAAAGTAAGATACTCCTAACAGGCCATGGTTGCGAAAACGTATCTGTGCATTTGCACTACAAGCACACCGTCTGAACATGTAATGAGTGCTGCTGTAAACATTGTAACCCCAATTAGGTTTTCGCTTAAACTGTACAATGTCAGCATCTTAGTTTTCTGGCAAAGATTTTAAAATATGATAAGAAAACAAAAGGTGGACATTTATACGCAACCCAGGCTCATTCTGGGAATGTAGCCCCGCAGACGTTACTGGAGACCGCGAAATACGTCCCGGGAGGTACGCAATTGTGCTGTTTTTTCCGTGTCTTGAATGTCTTTCGCAAGCGTGCGCAGTTCTAGCGTAAAAAGCCGCTGGAGGCTGCTGTCGAGCAATCGTCTGTCCGACTGTCTGAACTAGAGGTCTGCATTCCCGCGGCTGGAATAAATTTCCGAATAAATCGCGGGAGCGGTCGGTAACGGGTTTAATTTGGGACGGGAGCGGGCTGTCTAGCAATATATGCGAATGTGAGGGAGAGAGTGAGAGAGAGAGAGAGAGAGAGAGAGAGAGAGAGATTATTTCCAGATAGCAAAATACACTCGGGCCAGTTCCGGCTAGATTCTCGCCTGCCGGAGACTTACCACTCAGCCCGGCTCCGGCTGTCGGACTCCAGATGCTTGTGGACTCATCGAATCAATCGGGCCAGATGCGGCGGCCGTAAGCGAGCCGACGCTGCCGCATCCGCGCCGGAATCGGCCCGAGAGTAATGTGCGCTGCGGCCCGGAGCTGGCGCGACTCAGTATTTATATACCTTTATATAAAACCTTTTGGTATCACATCGGTACTTGATACATGGTATTACAAGCCTTTGAGTTGATATAACAGCAAACGCCTTTGTGTCTGCTTGGTGCTTGTGTGTGTGTTAGTGCGCGCGCACGCGTATGAGAGAGAAAGATTTGTCTGTGTGTGTGTGCTTGGTGCTGTGTGTGTTTATACAGACAGCTTGGCTGTCTGGACTGTATAGCTGGGGGATTTTCGGTTTTATTCTCCCCCTGGCGCGGCGGCCAGAAATCGAGGCGGGTCAGGCAGCGGGACAATAAATTCTTAATAAAAGCGGGAGCGGTCGGGTTCGGGCTAAAACCTGGCGGGTGCGGGCGGGAGCAGGATTCAAAATTTAGTCCCGCGCAGATCTCTAGTCTGAACAACTGACTGGGCGGCTGGCCAATCCAGCCACCCTCCTCCTCCTCCTTCTTCCCTAAACCCAAGTGACGATTTACAAAAGCCGTCCAGAAAAAGAAAAGCCCTCGTCCGATTTTGACCACGTTTTCAGATTGCAGCGCATTCTCGCCCCGTTACGAACTTGTTCACTGTAATTTTTGGATTCTTCCCCGTAGCGTTCGCTTGAAAAAACGAAATGCGTACCTCCTGCCACGTAAATCGTCCGCGGGGCTACGTTTTCAGAATGAGCTTGGGTTGGTTATACTCTCTTTTTTTTTCCAACATCTGACTTATATTGTTACTTGTAGGCTAATATTTTTTGTTCTTCTTATTATTAGTTAATATTTATAATATTACTGATTAGTAAATTGTCATTAAGGCTAAATGTCAAGTTCTTAAAAATGTGACGTTTAATTATAATTGTAACTATACTGTTTTAAGCAGTTAAAGTTATTTAATATTTAGCAACACATTTTATTGGCTGTATTGTGTTGTTTCAGTAACGCAGGTTTAAAAAAAAAAACGTGTGTTTGTATGGATATTTTAGCATAATTCTTTGGTCTTTGTTATTTGTTAATATAAATATAACTAAAATGTAAATTAACTTAGGCAGGTAACTTGCTAACTTGGGTAAATTCAGAGGCGTAATTTGTTGGTGGTAGGTTACGGGGGGAACATTTGCCAGTGAATATTGTCCTATCCACTTAGGAGGAGGAGCTTATTTTATTATTATATTAATTGTTAATTTTAATGATTATAAACAACAACTGCCTTCGTTTGAGAAACACCATCACGGTGTCATGTCTGCAATATTTTCTCGTTGAATAACAGATAATTCATGTTATGAATTTTCCACGTCATCTCCCCAGCCAGGTTTTCATCTACAGTTTCCGCTTTAGTTTCTTCTCCCTACAATAAAGTATATATAGCATGCTCTGTGCCGCAGGATGTCATAACTGAGGGGGCATTTTAATCCCATAGAGGCAAACTTGACCTGGTGACTGATTTTGATCCCTCTTGCTCCTTTCATTTAGGCTATAAATTCACTTATTTTTTTACTTTGCATTACTGCCTAAGTAACTGACTTAATGCAGTAATATACTTTTACTGTAATAAAAGTATATTATTATGGTAATAATAATTTTATAGTAACAATATTAATATGCAGTTTCGCTATTACTGATTTATTCAATGAAGGTTTTGCAATGATGCATTAACGTAGACAGATCATGGCTTCAGTGCCAAATGTGTGCTTTAAATTATACATTTTTTTCTCCTTATTTCTTTCCGTTTTATTTCAAATAACATACATTTTAGGTAAAGACGCCAAACTATTTCTACACATGCAAGCTAAACCACGATCGTATAACTAGTAAATAAATGATGAACGAGTCATAACGCTTCATTAACCAACCAATATTAGTGTTAGGAAAAAGTTAAATGTTCCAATTTAATGTCATTTAAAAAAATATATAGCTAAATGTGTTACTTAGTTACATTTTTATCTATTTATTTAGATTTCAGATTCATTATAGAGCCATGAACTTATAAAATCAATATGTTAACTGTATTTTAGCCATTAAAATTGGCCGACAATATATTTTCTGGTGTTTAATTTTGCATGAGCAAATAGCAGTATAGCCTATTTTGCATTTTTTTAGATTATTATTCAGCCTGCAACCTGCAGCGCATGTGAGAGATTTATCTGAGGCAAATGCACTCCCTTTTTCATTTATAACACTGTAAACTTGACTTATTAATTACTTTGAATACTATTTATAATAATAAATATAATACATTACAATATGAATTAGAGTAGACTACTATAGAACTATGCAGTGTTCAACTAAACATTTTTTATTAGGCTAATATTAATCCCTAACTGAAAAACTATTGTAAAAATGTAAAAATGACTGGCAGTTAATTTAACGGCAAATTTTGTTTGCGTTTTTCTCTTCAGATTTGCTGCTCGCCTAATTCATCCTGTCATTAACTAATCCAGTTTTTGCCTGTGTGAGTTTAGAGTGCACCTCCCCCGGCGCATTCGCATTTATATGGGCGCACCCTGACCTGACGTGGGGACCAGATCTTTGGAGATCTCTGTTGCTTTAAATTCACAATTTTCATAATTTAATTACTTTTCAAATTATAAAATATCTAAATCTGTGTTCTGAAGGTTGGATGGAGGGGATGTTAGTAATTAATGACAGAAAGAATCTTCACTTTTGAGTGTATGAACTTCTGTCACAGATTATTTTACAGCACAATTGACAAAATTGACATTGGACTACGGTGATGGTATCTATGTGCATGCTCCGTCTAAAAGTCTGAATGCATTGGATATTGTTTACCATGGTGCACTAAGATTTATAACTCATTTTAAATCCCTAACTCATTATTGTGTGCTGTATACTACCACTCAAGCATTGGCATATCCTTGTTTACAAATCTATACTGGGATTACTTCCATCATATCTACAGAATTACATTTGTAAAAAGACTGTTCTTAACTATGGTCTTCGGTCACAGGACATTTACTTACTGTCTGTTCCTGAAGTGCAGACTGAGATGGAAAAAAGACTTTTAAGTACCCAGCACCTTTTGCTTGGAATAATCTGCAAACACAGTTGCAGTTCAAAGAATTGATTTCTCTACATGCTTTTAAAAAGAATATCAAAGATTTGGAAGTTGAAACAGGTTTGTAGATGTTTTGAATAGTTTGTCAGTGTGTTTCATGTTAACTGTAAGTTGTTTTTGTCTGTTGGACTCATGTGACTTATGTACTGCCTAATCTTGGCCAGGACGCTCTTGTGAAAGAGATTTCAATGTGTCTTTCCTGGTAAAATAAAGGTTATAATAATAATAATAATAATAATAATATTAATAGTGGTAATCAAAAATTGTCACCGTCACAGCACTACCAACACAGTCAATGATGATATAATTCTTTACAAATGATTTATTAACTATTTGCTAATCCTAAATAAATGATTCATAGTGTGCAAATTAAAGTGTTATTTTACTTCACAATAAAAAAGACAGCTTACTTTGACAGTTCTTTCATCTCTTCTTCATAAACTTTTCGCCTTTCTGTTAGTTCATCACTCAAGTACTGCTGCAATAGTTCTTCAATTAGAAGAGTTTTGCAGTACGCTCTAGTGGCCAGATACTGCAAAAAAAGAAAGATATGTTCATGTTGGATAACTTTAACAACTTCATGAAACAACATAAGGATTAGTATTCATTCAACACATGAGGACTGAAATAGGGAAGAGAAAAAAGTTTTTAGGCATTATGGTTTGACATCAGTTCATTAGTGCTTCCCATTGCGCTTGGCCTTAATGATAACTCTGAATGTAAAAAAAAAACAATAACTCAATTTTACATAACTTTTTTTATAACATTATAAAGTCTTGTCAGACTATAGATAGATGGTGTATATAGATCTGATAACTCTGCAGACCATAGGAGATGTTCAAATTCACTTTTATGTTTATCAAACCACTCTGTTACCAGTCTTGCTGTGTGTATTGGTGTATTGGTGCACTATTATCCTGATACATCCTGATGCACCACCCTCAGGATCCTGCCTATCTAGCACAATTACTGGGCCTAGGGAATGCCATGTTTTTGCAGACCAAATTATTACTGATCCACCGACATGCTTCACTCTGGGTATGCAACTGACTGGGTGTTTCACTTTTTTGGGGCTTCTCCACTATTTAACATGTGGGAAAGACAGTGAATGTGAACCCGTCAGAGAATAATAAATGTTTCACACTGCACATAGCCCAAGATATTTGCTCCTGGCACCTTTGAAACCTATGTTTGGCATTGGCATGAGCTACCAGCGGACAGTTTTGGTGGAAACACAACAGTTAAGTTACACAATTCTGCAGTGAGTTGTACAGCTGTGGTTTTGTGTTTTTTGGATACAATCCATGTTAGTACATGGACATCCCTTTCAGAAAGCTTTCTCTTGTGTCCACAGTACTCTTGTTGAATGTGGTTTGTCCTCCGTGGTGTTATGCAGACTTACCTGTATTCACCTTATTCTTTGCGCACGAGCGGGCGTAGCCATTTAAATCTTTTGGCTCGAGACTTTTGGTCTCTTTCACTTCCATTCATTTTAAGAAGTTAAAAACAGCTTTTATGCTGCTTGATGTTGCAAACAGATTTTTTCTTATTATATTATTCGGTCCCACTTTATATTAAGTGTCCTTAATTATTATGTACTTACACAGGAACTAACAGTTTGTTACAATGTACGTATTGTGTAAATACATGTATTTATTGTGTAGTTATGCTTGATTTAATACCTGTATGTAATTACATCTGTAACTAACTTCTGTAATTACATTTGTAAATACACTGCTGACCATTCCCTACACCTTAACCCACCCTTAAACCTACCCTAACCACCAAACCTATGCATAACCCAACCCCTATCCCAACTCAAGAGCACCACAAGTGTTCTCAAATACATTATGAACACAGTAAGTACATTGCATTTATTTTTTGATGCAACTACATAGTAGTTAAGGACACTTAATATAAAGTGGGACCTATTATTCTACTTTTTATGTATAGTCAAGCAAACACTTGTTTGTAGAGCAAGTAGTTTGATGCCGTTTTCTGCCGTTTATTATTCCTAGTCATGTCTCCCATAGGCAACTGAATCGGAAGTTCTTAACAAAATTGCAAAAAAACGCACTTCCGCATTGTAGAATAAAATCAATATCGTGGCTATTGACACATTACAAAGACTTCAGCAAGATGCACACCAACAATCTGTCCTCTTTTGAACAGTAATCTGTCACCCATGATATTGTGTGCATTGCAATATTTAAAGAAAAACTATGGTATTACTCAGCTAATTAAACTTTCACACTCTGCACTTAATGGTTTCAATGAAGATTGGCCACCAGGCCGGTGAAATTTAGTCCTGAAAATCAGAGCTTGTATATAAAATAAAATCATATATATTTATATATATATATATATATATATATATATATATATATATATATTAGGGATGTGCGGAGCAGCCGGTATTTGTATTTGTATTTGTTGAGGGGGGAAAAGTATTTGTATTTGTATTTGTATTTGTATTCGAGTAAAATTCAAAATGGCGGAAAAATATATATTTTTTTCTATTACACTTCTAATTTACGTTATAGTATAAGTCTTGTTTAATTATACCCATTATATAAATTATAGATATGCAATATTGGTTGTTGTTTTTGAACATGTGATAAGAAATGTCATTGAACAGAAAATAACATAGAAGCCATTATCTCATCCATGGTTAAACCAACAACTAATAAAATACCATTGTGAATATTATGAACCCCACCACCACCGTTCTTGTTGAAGGACACTGAATAGACAGAATAAAAACAAATAATACTTCAAAAAAAACTGTTCTTCTTCTGAAAGAACTTCTTTCCAATGCACAGAATTCCAAATACTAAAATTAACTAAATAAATCTAAAAAAAAACCCTGCCCGGGAGATCTGGCAGAACAAAAGTATTCTATATAATACTAAAAGATACAGCCCTGCTATTGTCATCTGCCAGACACAAAAAAAGACACAAAGTTTGTTTGTTTGTTTTTTTTATGTTTGAAACTGACTTGCTGGGGCAGAATGTGGCTGTGTTGATGGTTTGGTGCTTGTGGAGGATTTAGCAGAACATAGCTGTGCTGATTGAGGGGATTGAAGCTTGTGGGGGGTTCACAGACAGTATCAGGAGAGGATGCTTTTAGTGCATGTGATAATACATTACATAGAAGGTTGCGCGGTGCTCTGTTCAGTGAGAAGCGCTCTCTATGGCAAGCCTTTTTAGCATTTAAATCTTTGTTCTGACTCCATAAATATATTAGAGATATCTCTAATTATATTTTGACTAGTCATAATTATAATTCCACTACTCAGAATGACAATTAGACATATCTGCAATTACAATTGTACTAGTACGAAATCAGATGCATTTTGACTAGTAACAATTGTAATTAGAGATATCTCTAACTGAGTTTTTACTAGTCATAATACATTTAGAGATATCTTTAATTCATCATATTTAGAGATATTTACAAATATATTTGAAGATATCTCTAATTAATTTACTAAAAGTCTAATTACAGTTGTAGATATCTTGAATTGGATTTTTGACTAGTCAAAATTCATTTGGAGATATCTCTAATTACAATTGTGACTAGTCAAAACTTAGAGATATCTGCAAATATTTTTCAATGGAAGTCAATGGAGGAATATGACTAGTCTATCATAATATATTTGCAGATATTTCCAATCTGACTAGTCGAATTATAATTATGACAAGTCAAAATATAATTAGAGATATCTAAATATATTTATGGATAGTCTGAACAAGGTTTAAATGCTAAAACGGCTTGCCATACGCTCTCATCCAGCAGCAGAGTGGAGAGTTCTCTAGTTATATCCTTTCAGTCGTTTGTTATGCAGTGACATGCAGTCAAATATTTCGCCAAACAGTCTTTAGGGATGCGGTGACACGCAGTCAGATATTTTACCGGACAGATCCGCCACTTTTGGCGCGCATAAACAATCATAAAGCTCTCGTGCTGCAGGAATGATGAGATCTGCTGAAGGCGCGCAGCTGACGTGCAGTAAGGGGTTTGCGTCTTTAATAAACTACGGCAGTTTGCGATCACTGAACAGTAAGAATGATTAATAAATCCTATGAAACAGCCCCTTTAAAAGTCACGTCTCGCTTTCAGTTTCGGGCTTTGGCGTGTTTTGTCTCTCTCTCACTCACTCACTCACTCACTCACTCACTCACTCACTCACTCACTCACTCACGCGGGCATGCACTGTGGTCTCATGAGGAAACGCTGCTTTTTGATATAGTGTTTTTCTTGCTCCCGAATACAAATAATTTTTCAAGTATTTGTTCGAATCAAGTATTCGTAAAAACACGCTATTCGTGCCTTTCCGAATACCGTATTCGGGTTCGGCTCCACCCTTAATATATATATATATATATATATATATATATATATATATATATATATATATATAAGGGACAATCAAAATAAAGTGATAGCCAAGTGATAGCTACTATGATACTGGGTACTGGCTCGCCATGTAAAGCAGATTGAAGATAACTACAATGACGGGGCTCGAGTCTAGTGAGGAATGGTTCCAGAAAGTAGGTGAGACAAAAACAGTATTAAAAAAAGAAAACTAAATCTGAAAAAGTGGTAAAAAGTCAGGAGAGGGCTTTTTTTGGATTGCTTTTTAAAATTGTCGGTTGGGTTTAGGGAAGAAGGAGGGTGGTTCAGTTGATTGGTCAGTCAGCCAGTCAAACAGTCAGTCGACAGCGACCTCTGGTGGATTCACGAAAATAAAAATGCAGAAAAACGTAAAAAAACAAAACTGCAAAAAACGTAGCTCCTGGCATGTGTTTGGCACACTCTAGAAATGTATATAGAGGAATTTTTTCAGAATGAGCATTGGTTGGCATTAGTTTAACAGTTAAATTATTTTTAGATAATAATGTAAATCATAAGAATTTGATTGATTTACTGTTTACAAATGACCTGCTCTTTTCATCCAGTTGACAAGATTTGTTGCATTTCTCTGTAAGTGTTGCTGGACCAAAGTCGTACATTTGATAACATTGATCATAATGTTCTCCGACATGGGCTCGATTATGTTGGTATTACTGAAACTGCTATAGCTTGGTTGAAGTCTATCGAAACATAATTAATTTGTATCAGTTAATGAAGTGGCATCATATCAATTCAAACTACACTGTGGCTATCACAAGGCTCACTTGCTTTTTACATTATAAATGCAACCACTAGGCAATAACATTAAAAAGAAACATGGAATTAGTGTCCACTGTCATACCAACAATACACAAGTTTATATCTCCTCACAACCTGACAATTTGTACAAATTAACAAACCCAATATATTGTATATCTGATAATAACAATTGGATGACTAATTCATAATGGTTCCAAACCATTATGATTTTCTTTATTGCACTAAAAAAGATGAACACTAAAGAAGATATTTTGGGGGAAAAAAGATGAAAAACTAACCACATTTGTTTTTCTATGCAAGACAATGGTTACAGGTTTCCAAACCTCATAAACTTATCTTCTTTTGTGTTCAACAAAGGAAAGAAAGTCAAACAGGTTTGGAACAAGTGAACAATGGATTAATGAAAGAATTTTACATTTTTGGTTAAATATCCCTTTAAAAAGGTAATTTTATAAAGGGCCTTAAAAAATAATTACCTCTGAGAGGTTCTCCTTACAGAGGGGACAGTTAGGATTGTGGTCCAAGCAACGTTCTAAACACTTGAGGCAAAAAGTGTGTCCACAGGGTGTGGTGACAGGCTCATAAAACAGTCTGGAATAAAAATAGTGAGAGATTTTAGATATGTACACACTTAAGCATTATTTTCTAAGAAAAAACATTACCTCATACAAAGAGAACATTCAAAGTCAGCATTGTCCAAAAGCTGCAAAGGAACTTGCCGTTTCACCACCGCAGATGAAAACACATGATCTGTATACAACAAAATCAAGAGAGTCAAAGCAAAAAAAAGTGTTTGTACAACTATCCATAGAAATCGAAATAAAATCAACAATAACCTAAGTAAAATTTATTTATTCATACTAAAGACTATATTATCCAGTATTAGCTATTCATGAAATCATGGCTTTAAACCACATACCTTCTTTGAGCTGTTTACTTGGAGGCTCAGATTGTTTAGAATTTTCAGTCCATTTCCTTTTTAGAACTGGTGGAATAAATAGTGAAGAGAGGCCAACACAATTCACATTTTCAGATAATTGAGAGTTCCCATCTTTGATTTTACTGCAACTGAGAGTCAGATCCTACCAAAAAAAAAAAAAAAAAAAAAAGAAAGAAAAATATGGTTTGAGTGACTGTTTGATGGGATTTATTCTGAAATGTGTGTGTGTGTGTGTGTGTGTGTGTGTGTGTGTGTGTGTGTGTGTGTGTGGCATGAGAGCTTGACAATACTGTCAATCGTGTGAATCTCATGACAATTGTGTGAGAGTTGGTAGCCCTGTTGTATATGTTAAATCATGGTTAAATCATACAGTAACCTTCGAACAGCCTGCTTTGGTTCCATCTCTAGGAATAATGGTATTAAGAGAACTGAGGAGAGATGTGGGTTTAATACGAGAGGTGCAGGCTGGAAGGGACGTAGCCAGACCATCATTTACAAAGACTGAAGAGAACATGTGGCTCAGAATCTGTAAATACACAAATACATAAAACATAATACTTAAAATCATCCACCACTGACAATTTCATAAATATAAGAAATCAGTATGTAATTATGTCTTTAAACAATCTTCATACCTTTTGCATAAACATTTGTAACTGCATAAGTTTGAATCCTAAAAGTTTGATCACATACTGTACATACATTCATACATCCACTAGGTTGAACTAGAGAGGCAAAGCACTGTATAAACATTATAGAATTGTTCTCAAATTTATGATAAATGATCAATCATATAATTGTTTAAAATAATTTTTGTTTAACTTGTAACACAGATTTCTTCATGTAACAACACAACCACAATACACAATCAAGATCCTGGCTTGACAGCCATATTTATTACAGAAATTAAAACAAAGGCATGTTAATGCTATTCGAATTTTAAAACAATCAATACCAATAAAAAAAAAAACATTTTTAAGTTGGATTCTAAGTGGACTGCAAAAAAATTCCAAAATACAGGCATTGCAAATATGGAAGTTGAAAAAATTATAATAAAGTATTAAATACAAACAATTGTTCTCATAGTAAAGTACATTTATCTAGTTGCTAAGACAGTCCAGTTCGTTGACATAACTTATTGATTTAGTGGCTACAGACACTGACGTGTAGGCATTTTTGTTTCTAGGAAACGCAACCGCACGCACACACAGACCAGGGCCGTGGACGGGGTGGGGGGTGGGGGGTGGGAGGGGGGGGGGGGGTTGGTGGCCCTGTGGCTAGAACCACTGCCCCTCTGTCCTTCATTGGCTGAGGTGCCCTCAGGAAGCACTTGCTCTTCACTTTGTGATCGCGTTGAGCACCTGACCCTAAGGGTCTGTGCTCTGTGCACGGGCCTGACACAGACAGACACACAGACAGACACACTGACAGACACACACAACGCACACTGGACAGGGCAGCCGGAGCGACTAACTTCAAATCAACACGCATGTTCGCATTCATCAAATTTGCTTAAACTAAGCATTCTAAAGTATGGTTGTATTTCACAAGGATTCAGACACAACAACGCAAAGCAGACACTTTACAAAAGTTGCATTTAAGGAGGAAACGCGTCAAACTTAATAAAACATTTGAGGGCGTGTGCTGAAAGGCAATGGAATGCATCGTCTTTGACAGCTCGCATCTTCATCTGGCACTTTTTTGAGTACATTTACAAGGACACCAATACTCCAATTTTAATATGACTAAGATAATACTCTTAATAATAGTCTACCTTGTAAACAGTTATTTTTAATTACCTTAAAGGACCACCGAGTCACGAAATACAGAGGTTTTTCTTTCCGTTCACCATGGTGTATCAAATTCCATTAAAACAGAAGTCAAAAGTTAAAAATGAAACACCCGAAATTAATTACCAAATACATACAAACTTAGACTTAGACTTAGAGAACTTTATTGATCCCGCAGGAAATTGCTTATGTAATGACTGCCATAACACACAAAACACAGAAACACAAAACCACAAGACAAAATAAATAAATTAAATAAGTGAAATAAGTCACATAAATCCAACCAATCTATAAAAGGAAACAGCCACAATACATAAGTATACAAACTATTATACAAGATATTACACTTAAAAGAATCAGTGGTAACTAATACTATTAAGTCATATATCAAGTAATGAAAATAATATTAACCAAAACCAATAATATTACACATAAAACAATTACACATAAAATATTTCAAGTAGTAAAGTGATTCAGCACTCATTTAAAAAACAATGATATTGCACTAAAAATATTTAAGACCCAGTAAAAAAAACATACAAATATTGCACCTAGTAGATTATTGCACATCATAAAACATAATGCACAGACTTCCACACACTAAAACCCGTAATAAGTAATATATGGCACGAGCAGCAAGGTATTGCATAGATTACTGTAAGGGTGAGTGACTGAGGGAGACGTTATGAAGTCTGATAGCAGTGGGAAGGAAGGATTTTCTGTGGCGTTCAGTGGAACACTTTAAGCTGGTAAGTCTGTGACTAAAGGTACTTCTCAGCTCGTCAACCACATTATGAAGAGGATGATCTACATTGTGCATAATTGACCGAAGTCTGCACAATGTTCTCTTTTCGGCCACAGTTTCCATATTGTCCAATTCCCCACCCACCACAGAGCCAGCCTTCCTAATCAATTTGTTAAATCTCTTCATATCTGCCACTTTTACACTACTACCCCAGCACACCACAGCATAGAAAATGGCACTGTCCACTATAGACTCATAGAACATACGCAACATGGTGTTGCAGACTCTAAAAGATCGGAGTTTACGTAGGAAATACAGCCTACTTTGACCCTTCTTATATGTGACCAGAGAGTTCTTGGACCAGTCCAGCTTATTGTCAATATACACACCCAAATATTTATAGTCCTGAACAATCTCCACATCCACCCCTCTAATGGACAAGGGAGTAACTGGAGATCGTCGTGATCTTCGCAAGTCCACCACCAGTTCTTTGGTCTTTTGGATATTAAGCTGCAACTGATTCAGCTCACACCAGTCCACAAAACTGTCCACAGCCATCCTATATTCCAAGTCGTCCCCCCCCTTAATACATCCGACTATTGCTGAATCATCTGAAAATTTTTGCAGGTGACAGCCCTCTGTGTTATATTGGAAGTCAGATGTATACAGTGTGAAGAGAAACGGTGACAAAACAGTTCCCTGCGGTGCTCCAGTGCTACACAGTACCGTATCGGACATATTCCCCTGTAGCCGTACGTACTGTGGCCTATCAGTCAGATAGTCCATAATCCACGCAACTAAGGGAGCATGAACCTGCATAGCAGACAGTTTGCTCCCTAGCCGGGCTGGCTGAATAGTGTTAAAGGCACTGGTAAAATCGAAGAATGTAATCCTCAGGGATGCACTCGGTTTGTCAAGATGGCTGTAGGCACGATGTAACAGGTAAATGATGGCGTCTTCCACTCCAATCTTGGCCTGGTAAGCGAACTGAAGAGAATCTTGCGCTGACCTCACTAGGGGGCGGAGAGTGTCCAGGACCAGCCTCTCAAAGACCTTCATACTGTGTGAAGTAAGTGCTACTGGCCTGTAGTCTGATGGAACACTAGGTCGCGCCTTCTTGGGTACCGGAACCAGACATGATGTTTTCCACATCACAGGAACTTTCTTAATACTGAGGCTCAAATTAAAGATCCTCAGCAGTACTCCACTTAACTGAGAAGCACACAGCTTAAGTACTTGTGTGGTTAATACGTCTGGACCCGGTGCCTTAGCAGGATGGAGTCTGCATAATTCTCTCCACACTTGGTCCTCAGTGATGATCATAGGTGGTTTATAAGAGTCTGAGACACCAATGAAAGGAGGAGAGGCGGTGGAGGCTTCAGTTGGTACGATGGTGAAAGAGGAGGAGGGAGAGGGCGCGAAGTAGGGCAAAATGCTGCAATTTGAAGTGACACTGTTGGGGGGAGCAGATGCACTAGGTGCAGTAAGGGCTGTGTCAGAGCTGGAGAGTCTGGAGAGAGGCCTACTGTCAAACCTGTTGAAAAACATATTAAACTGATTGGCCCTATCCACATCACCATCAGTTCTAGGGCTGCTGGTCTTGAAGCCAGTAATGTTCTTCATGCCTTTCCACACATACCTACTGTTGTTCTGTTGCAGCTCTTGTTCCAGCTTTTTCTTGTATCTCTCCTTACCCTCCTTTAACCTCACCGACAAGCGCCTCTGTACTTCCTTAGCTGCTTCCTTATCACCTGACCTGAATGCCACCTTCTTTTCATTCAGAAGGGCTTTGATATCTTTAGTGACCCATGGCTTGTTGTTAGGAAAGCAGCGTATGGATTTCACTGGTACAGTACTATCCACACAGAAGTTGATGTACTCAGTGACACAGTCTGTGAGGTTATCAATGTCCATACCATGTGGCACGCACAGAGCATCCCAGTCCGGAGTCTCCATGCAGTCTTGCAGGGCTGCACTGGCCTCTTTTGACCACTCCCTCACTGTCCTAACAGTAGCTGGCTGCCTCTTTACCAGTGGTAGGTAGGTGGACTGAAGGTACACAAGATTGTGATCCGATCTACCTAGAGGTGGAATGGCTATACAGCTGTATGCCTCTTCCACATTAGCATACAGTAAGTCCAGAGTCTTATTTTCTCTGGTGGGGCATTCTACATACTGTGAAAAGGTGGACAGTGTCCTGTTTAGTGAGACATGATTAAAATCGGCTGATATTAAGACGAACGCGTCCTGGTGCATTGTCTGGAGTCTAGCAGTAGCGGAGTGAATGACGTCACATGCCGTCGTAGCATTGGCCGATGGAGGAATGTAAACAACAATGGCGATCACATGTGAAAACTCCCAGGGCAGATAGTATGGACGTAGCCCCACTGCTAACAGTTCAATGTCCGGGCTACAGATACGTTCCTTAATCACAATGTGATTCGGGTGGCACCATCTTTCATTAACAAAAACAGCAAGTCCACCCCCCTTGCTCTTTCCACTCTCACGCCAAGTTCTATCCGCCCGGACACTCGAAAAGCCAGCCACGTCCACGACTGAGTCAGAAATACACTCATGCAGCCATGTTTTAATAAAACACATCAAACTAAACTCACGAAATTCTCTGTGGCATCTGACCCGTGCCGTAAGCTCGTCCATCTTATTTTCCAGTGACCTCACATTGCCCATAACAACAGACGGCAGGTTAGGTTTATACCGTCTTCTCAGCTGCTCATCAGACAATTTCCCATTCCTCGTTCTTTTCCCTCGCACCTTTGATCCTCCACGGCAGCCTCTCTTAGTCTTCCCCCTCCGTAACTCCGCGGGGATACCCGAGAGGACCGCACTGTGCTCCGAAGCATCCTGCCTCAACGAGATCAGCTGGTCCGGGGTATAAACAAAAACCGGATCACAACCGCTAGCTGTGTTAGCATTAGCAGCGTGCGGCAAGCTCAAACAAAGAGCAGTAAACAAAAAAAAAACACAGAGATG